ATACTTGTACATGTTACAGTTGAGACACTATATTTTGCCACAGTGTAAAATGTTAGCATACTTGTACATGTTACAGTTGAGACACTATATGCCACAGTGTAAAATGTTAGCATACTTGTACATGTTACAGTTGAGGAACTATATACCACAGTGTAAAATGTTAGCATACTTGTACATGTTACAGTTGAGGAACTATATACCACAGTGTAAAATGTTAGCATACTTGTACATGTTACAGTTGAGGAACTATATGCCACAGTGTAAAATGTTAGCATACTTGTACATGTTACAGTTGAGGAACTATATGCCACAGTGTAAAATGTTAGCATACTTGTACATGTTACAGTTGAGACACTATATGCCACAGTGTAAAATGTTAGCATACTTGTACATGTTACAGTTGAGGAACTATATGCCACAGTGTAAAATGTTAGCATACTTGTACATGTTACAGTTGAGGAACTATATGCCACAGTGTAAAATGTTAGCATACTTGTACACATGTTACAGTTGAGGAACTATATGCCACAGTGTAAAATGTTAGCATACTTGTACACATGTTACAGTTGAGAAACTATATGCCACAGTGTAAAATGTTAGCATACTTGTACATGTTACAGTTGAGGAACTATATGCCACAGTGTAAAATGTTAGCATACTTGTACATGTTACAGTTGAGGAACTATATGCCACAGTAAAACACAATGTTAGCATACATGTACTTGTATGTATTACTTTATGACTGACAATCAGCAATTGTCCAATCAAAATTAAGTTTTAGTTTGAATTTCAATAGCTTTTTAACCCTTATCTTACAAGCCCTATGTACTTTTACATTGAACTTGACCAGGTACATTGTGTAAGAGTTAAAAAAGACATGAATCCAGTTTTCCAGCAAAAGCCCAACCCTTAACTATAATCACATCAAAGCAATCTAAAGCAGAATGTTCCCCATTTGTTCACAGTAGATAAAAGTACAGAACGAGGAATAAAGGCATATTCAAGTGTGTTTCCTATATACTCAAACAAGCAGCTGCAAATTACTAATCCACTGAGCTGATGTGAAGAGACAGCCGTACATGGTACACCTGTAGCATATCAGAACATCTCCACTCTGTAAATTTTAGTTTAAGTGTGCTCCTGGCAAATACGTAGGTGTACATGCATGTATATCGCAGTACACTTTTATGTATCTATTATTCTTTGTAACATAAGAAAGTGTTAATTTCAACAAGTA